AGAACCAGAAAACTAAAGTGATCTGAGCACTGGATTCTTCTATGGTGCTGGTTCTGAGCACCATGGACCTGCTTGCATTGCTATAAGATGGAGACACTGACACATACAAGGGCTGTTTCGAAAATCAAGTCAAGCGCATGCAAGTTCTAAAATGCCCGGTGTTCTCACTCGCACCTGGAAATGATTGACAGGTAAAACCTATCCCTGTCATCACGACACTTAAGAAGTTGAGCAGTGTCTATTTCAGGCAATCTGGTGACACCCACTGAGGGTCCAGGTCTGCACTTGCCTGCCCCTTGCTCTGCCATTCTCACCTGGCGGGCCTCTTCTGCTTCCCACACAATCTGGGAGCTAAATCAGCTCACCACATTAGTTTCTGCTAGACAACAATGAAATACCTGATCCCCTGACAATGCTGTTTGCCTTTTAAAGTGGCTTTGCTCCAGGGAAGTCGTTCTGGAGGTGCAGGGAGTTAGGAGCAGCCAGAGAGGATTTTAAATAAGGCCTGAGGCCAAGGGCATGAGCAGTGTGAGCCGCAGCCACCCTGTGGGAAGACGCCAGGGGAATCCATGGCTCACCGACCTGGGCTGCTCACAGGTGGGTGTGATCAGAAAGCAGTTAGGGTCAGATGTGCTGCTCCATGAACAACACAAGTGTCTCCCTTTCTCTCTCTGAAGGATGCACATCTAGGTGGACAGCTGTCCATCTCCTATTCCTGGAAGAGGGCAGTTTCTCCCACTTCTGGGAAAACAGCGTGTGTGTGTGTGTGTGTACATGCCCATACATATACTCTAAACTGTTTCTAAAAAGTGTCTATATGGTTTTAACTTTTCCTCTCATTTGCAGGCATCTCATTGAATATCAGAATACAGCAGCATCCACATTCTCATGAATTTATTACACAGCCTTTTAGTTAAGGAATAAATATTTCTCTAAGAGCATGAGTGCAGCTGTTTATCCATAATGCCCCAAACCCTTCGTTTAAAATAGACTTGAATGAATTTTAGCAAGATGATCAAGCTGCATTACATGAAAGAAAAATTAAGTGGTAAATTTAAATTGATTTTTGTATACAATTATTTGATTGCTCCAGCACACTGAAAAGTCTAATTTATTACATATTACACACAGGGTTCTATTAGTGTAAGAGAACAGAGTCAGTTGTTTGTTATGTTACCTATGTTACCAGTGAATGGCAGGGTTCTTGTCTTCGCGCAAGAAAGAATTCAGGCATGAGACAGAGAGTAGTGGAAAGTAAAATAGCAAGGTTTATTAGGGCAGGGACATCCGTAAGAACGGATGGGCAGCTCTCCAGACAGAGCCTGAGAGAGAGTGCCCAGTCGCTCAGATTAGGGGAGAGCGGGGTTACATGGTTGAGTGGAATACACCTGGCCAGGCCAGGCAGGAGGCTCAGCAGAGAGGCACAGTCCAGTTGAGGCCCGGGTTTTTTAAGGAGATGGGTCTTTGTCTTCACAGATCTCCTCCTGAAACAAAAAACTTTATGGATGTAAATACTAAAACTCCTATCTGAGTTTTCCCTTGAAGGTATCAGACAGGAGGAAACCTGGCTGGCACCACCCTGAGTTAGAAGAAGGGTGAGCAAGACCCCCTGGAGAATCAGGATCTGGAGCAGGGTATTTGAAATGCAGATGCTGCACTGCATCTGGAAGATTATCAGGCAGAAGGGGCGGGGACCCCCAGCTGGCAGGTTATTGGGTAGAAGGGGGCAGGGCAGGATGCAGATACTGGACTCCCCCCCCCCCAAAAAAAAAAAACGTTATCAGGATGACTTTGAGATGCATAGATGTCTTCTCTTTAGGCCTTTATGTCACACACTCATATCTGACTTCCTACCTAACAGTTACATTTCTGCTTTACAGAGTCACAGTTCCAAATGAAAGTGATAGAGTTAGCTGGAGACACACTTGTGTCTCTCTGTATTGTGTCGGATGCTCCCCTCTCTCTCTCTCCTGTCCCACTTGTACCTCTAGTCTTGGAATATCTAATTCTGAAAAGGTTATAACCATCTGCAATGCAGAATTTATTCTTTTCAAATCTTTAGATCTTACCTTCTCATTGCAACAGCCTTAGAGCAAATCATCAAATTGCCATTGTGTGCTGTGACTTTTAAGCTTGTGGATATGTAAAAAATAAAAGGCAACATAGGATATAGACTTAAAAAAAGTTGAAATTAAAATAAACTGAGAATATGCTAAATGATTTTTTGCAACTATTAAAAAAATCTTCCATGTGCAAGACATTTATCTCTTCGAAAAATCTGTTTAGAAGATTTATAATTTGAAACATACAAATCAACAAAGAAGTAAAAAATAATTTAAAGCAACTTGTTCTGCATTCCACAGAGAATGACAGCCATGATTCTTTGCTTTCCCATGATTTAATGTTTGACTTCTAGCACACAATGTGTATTTCATATGCAGTACTCAGAAAATATCATTCCGTGTTCTTTGCAAGTCCTGTCACAAAGCACAGTTGTGAACCTGCTGTACTTGGAATGCCATGACTCCTAACCAAGCCCTGTCTTCCCAAGTCCCCTGTTCTTTTATAGCAATCATAGGAGTGGGAAGGTGGCTTCAAGTTATGGTGGAGGCAAAGGAAGCTACAGCCAAGGAGTCAGCGGCTGTGGCAATAAGGAGAGAAAGATGCTTTCAATGCTGTTTGTGTGAGCACCAAAAACATAAAACAAGGGGCTGCGCAGGCTAGACAGAAGGCTGAGAAAGTCAAGAAGACTGGACAAAACATTAGGTGAAGTCTTGGCCTGTTTTGCCTGTTTCCCTTCACTTCACTTCAGCAAGCCACCCCAAAGACACTGGTGGTTTTTTGTTAATTAACAGATAAGTTTATTTTGAAACCATGTGTGGCCTTTCTTTTTCATAAAGTGCATTTTCCACACATTTTTTTCCTGATAACTTACTTCTTCCATGTTATGAGTGTTAGATCTGCTTGTATCTGAATGTACTTGTGGCACACACAGCAATTTTTAAAAAGATTTATTTGAAAGGCAGAGTTAGAGAGAGAGAGAGAGAGAGAGAGAGAGAGAGAATCTTCCATCTTCTGGTTCCTGCACCAAATGGCCACAATGGTCAGGGCTGAATTATCCTGAAGCTAGGAGCCAGGAGCTTCTTCCGGGTCTTCCACACGGGTGCAGGGGCCCAAACACTTGGGCCATCTGCTGCTGCTTTCCCAGGCACAGTAATAGAGAGCTGGGTTGGAAGTGGAGCAGCAGGGACATGAATGGGTACCCATGTGGGACGCCGGTGCCACAGGCTGTGGCTTAACCTGCAACGCCATATCACCTGCCCCACAGCAACTCACTGAGCCACAGACACTGCCCTTCTGCAGCCCCCGGCTGGGAGGCAGCTGTGCAGAAGCGGGGCTCCAGCTGCCCTGAGCTCCCGAGCTCCCGGCATCAGGGGAGTCACAGCATCAAGCCAGAGACAGCACAGTCCTGGCTTTGTGCAAATGCAGAGCCTCGGGGCATTGTTTGCCTCAGAGAGGAGCTGACTTTTTGCAGCTCTGTGCTCTTCTGTTCCTGCAAGTTTGCAGGTCATGTTCTTACTACGCAGCTCAAAAACCATAAAGAGCTGGTGGGGAGCACTTAGCCTGGCAGCTAAGACGCTGCTTGGGAGACCCGTGTTCCGCAGAGCAGTGCTGGGACTGAGTCCTCCTCCTCTTCAAGTCCAGCTTCTTCTCATGCACACCCTGGGAGGCAGCAGGTGACGGTTCTAGTAGTTGGGTCCCTGCCACATACATGGGAGAACCAGATGGAGTTCTGGGCTCCTGGCTTCAGCCCTGGCCCAGCCCAGCTGTTGCTGGCATTGGGATTGAACCAGCAGATGTCTGTCATCTATCCTCTATCTATCATCTCTCAATCATCTATCTCTGTTTCTCAAAATAAGTAAATTAATAACTTAAGAAAATTATAAACTTCAGAAATGCTTTTCTTATGCTCAATGTATTACAGCCTGCAAGCTGTGAGCCAATGGAACTGTGCTCATCTTTGTGGGCTCAGTAACTTTGCATATCCTTAAACACATGAATAGTTGATGAAATACTGAGATCTTTTTAAAGTATAGGCCTAGTATCAATTTAGGTATTTTTTTTAAATGCACTTGTTTTTCTTTCTGAATCTGCTCTTCCTCTGTGAGTAACAACAGTGCTCCCTGGAGCTGTGTCCTGCACTCCTCACCATCTCCCTCCTGCCACCGGCAGACAGCCCCGTGCTCCCCTGCTCCGCTGCCAGGCTTCCAGGTCTCCGTGGTGCTGCACTTTGGCACGAGACTGCGCAGCGTTTCTCTACAAACCCCTGTAGGCTTGGGAAGAAATCCTGCTTCCTCTGTGAAGTGTGGGCCAGGTGCTGAAGGGTTCAGAGCAGGAAGCATCAGACAAGAATGTCTGCGTCTTAACGATCTGGTTAAAGAGCCGGTTAGTGAGCGATCAGAGAATTTTCATCAATTACTTAGGAAACTATTACAGCTTAAAGGAAGATGCTCTTTTATTTACATGCATATATTTCATTCTGTGAGCATTCTGATTCACATGAAAACAAGTAACTTCTCTTGTTTATTTTTCTGAGGACCCTAATTTAAGTTTCCAAACACTGAAGACAAATCATCTGTGACTCAAACAAATATAAGCAGCATTTTTCCAAGTGACTTTTTTTTCTCAGCTGGTTAATTTTGGTTTAAGCATAGTAAAAACTCAATAATAGCAGTACAAGCAATATAAAAATGGCAAACGTGATCCTCGGCCATTATTTAATCCTGGACAGAGTGGAGTACATTCTCGACATCTGTTAAAACATTATAAAACTGAGTTAGAAGGGTATTCACAAAGTTCTGGAAAAACGGAATTTAAAACTAAGCTTATTTTGGTGCAAAAACTTTTGATATCCATGCATTTTTCACCAGAATATGTGTTTCCACGAACTTTTTGAAGGCCTCTTGTACGTGCAAGGCCAGATGGTGGCGAGTGGGTGGGAAGCCCCCGGGCCTTGCAGTCCACGGCCAGTGCACGTCCAGCAGTTATGTAAGCACAGTCAGTGCGTCCAGACAGTGACCCTGCCTCTCTGCTCCTCCCATTTGCAGACATCATGGAGAAGAGAAACGCCACCTCAGACTTCATTCTCCTGGGGTTCTTCAACCACACAAGACTCCACCGCTTTCTCTTCACAGTGGTGCTGGCAGTAGCCACTGCCTCCGTGGTGGGCAATGCACTCATGCTGCTCCTGATTGCCCGGGACCGCCGGCTCCACACGCCCATGTACTTCCTCCTGAGCCAGCTCTCCCTCATGGACGTCATGCTGGTTTTCACCACGGTGCCCAAAATGGCTGCCGACTACTTGACCGGAAGGAAGTCCATCTCCCGCACGGGGTGTGGGTCGCAGATTTTCTTCTTCCTGACCCTGGCCGGCGGGGAGAGCTTCCTCCTGGCGGCCATGTCCTACGACCGCTATGTGGCAATTTGCCACCCACTGCGCTACCTGGTTCTCATGAGCTGGCGCTTATGTCTGCAAGTGACTGTGGGGTCGTGGATCCTGGGGGCTGCTGACGGCCTCCTGCAGGCTGCAGTCACCCTGAGCTTCCCGTTTTGCAGGTCACGTGAGATCAACCACTTCTTCTGCGAGGCTCCCGAACTGATGCGCCTGGCCTGTGCCCGCTCGTCTGTCTTTGAGTATGCCATGTACATCTGCTGCGTGTTGATGCTCCTGGTCCCCCTCTCCCTCATCCTGATCTCCTACAGCCTCATCCTGGCTGCTGTTCTCCACATGCGCTCCACAGAAGCCTGCAAGAAGGCCTTGGCCACCTGCTCTTCCCACCTGGCTGTGGTGGGACTCTTCTATGGAGCCGCCATGTTTGTCTACATGAGACCCAGGTCCTCCAGGTCAGCTAGCCATGACAAGGCTGTGTCAGCCTTCTACACCATCTTCACACCCATGCTGAACCCCCTCATCTACAGCCTGAGGAACAGCGAGGTCAAGGGTGCTCTGGAGAGATGGTTTGCGATATCCGTAACTCCAAAATGCCAGCACACTTAGGCCCATTGTTTAAGATGAGCTTAACTGCCTGAACTGAACATTTTAAATGTGACATTTTCTCTATTTTAATAATGAATTAGGCGAAAGTAAAGCTTATGAATCAGCATGAAAAGTTGCTAAGAACTGAGTCAATTGTATAGAGAAATTTAATGTCTGAGCATTTATTTTTATTTATTTGTTTGAGAGACAGAGTCAGAAAAAAGAGAAAAAATACAGATAGATCAGTGGTAGCCAGGTAGACATGAACCTATGTCTGTATGAAGGGGCCAAAGAAAAAAAATCAAAATTTCTGTGTGGTAGAATGATAAAAAATGTAGAAACATGTCAGAATTCATGGATCAAAAGCCTTGTCTTTGTTCAGTAGCTGGTTGGGTGGATCCCAGCCCTCTCTCTGAGGGCAGCTTAGAGGAATCTCATCTATCCTTCACCAAGGGGGCTATTATGAAGTTCTGGGAGGGATTCCATATCCAGTAAGCCCTGCACCCAGAGGGATTCTACAGAGAGGTACAGGGATTGTTGTGTCCGGTATGAGACCCTCCTCAAAACAACTCACAAATGGCAGACTGATGCAACAGCAAGAGGATTTATTACCAGCTAGCTGGGGCTCTTACCAGCACATACAACGTAGCACAGAGCTGAGGTGAAAAGCCCCATCCCTCTCCCTCACAGCATTTTTATGCACTCGAGTAAACAAGTACCTACGTCACTACACAGGTAGGTGAGTTCCTTATTATCTATGCATTTCATTGGTGCACTTTGAGCAACTCAGGGGCTACGTGTCACACAGGAATGCAGAAGAATCTAAATTCCAGGAATAGTTTCACTCCCATACTCTTAGGCCTGTCTTTTTCTGGCTTAAAATAAAGCCTGTCATGGAGGAACGGTGGTTCTCCCAACAGGTCCTAAAAGCTCCTGAGACCAAGATTTAGCTTGACTTTAATATGTTGCCCCATATTTTATATCACTTAATCTTAACATACTGCACACTATTAAGTCTTCACTCCAAATGTACTTAATCTAAGCTAACTTAGGGTTTGAATTAATTACGCATACCTGAACTCCACAGGAGCAGAACTAGAAGACCCTGCCCCAGCCATAGAAACTGCAGTGAATGCAGACTGGGCTCTTGGTTCTTTACCAAGAGGTCTGCCTGGTCTGTCAGGTGTACTCTCTTCATCATACGTGGCTAGCATGCTTACTGCTTTAAAAAAAAGAAATACAGATAGAGCTTCCATCCACTGGTTCATTCTCCAAATGCCCACAATGGTCAAGAGTGGACCAGGGCTGAAAGCAGGAGCCAGGTCCTTCAACCTGTTGGTGTCAGAGGTCCACCCACATAAGCAATTATCTGCTGCCTTCCAGGGTGCTTGTTAGCAGGAAACTGGAATGGGGAGTGGAGTCAGGACTCGAACCCAGACACTTCATAAAGATTTTCAGCATCCTAACTAGTGTCTGAACCATCTGGCCAAACACTCCACTCCACGGCAGACCCCGACTGCATCATCAAACACCCACACTCTGCTCCATGTTAAACAATGTCTGTGTCCTCTGCAGAATGTGGTTTCCTGTGTGTATATTCTTTGAATTTTTGAGAACTGCATTCAGGGACTCTTCCAAGGAAAAATAAGAAAATCTCTCATTAGCTATAATCTAAAATAAAGGCAGGTGATGTTGGCAAGACGGCAGAATAAGGAAGTCAGCCACTGATGTCCACACATGAACAAGAATCCTGCATATACACAGCCAATTCTGTTTGTGGGAACCTCAGAAGTTGGGTAGGGGACAGTGAAACCTCAGTGGAGTCCAAGATGTGGGCAGGCTGCTCTGAGGGTGCAGACCCCAGCAGAGGTGGATAGACTAACTGCTGTCAACTTCCAATGCAGAAACAACCCTGCTCCCCAGGCAGTTTGGCTGCGGCTCTTTTGGCCTTGAGCCTGGGGCCAAAATCTTCCACCAAGGGGTGGAGGAGGAACCACGAACGTCAGAGCAGAAAGGCTCATCTATCTGTCAGTGCTGGCAGCTGGCAGTGGAGCTGAGTTGCTCGCACCCAGGCCCCACCCCCTGGGCCATGATCACTCACTTACCCAGGCTTCACAGCAAGGGAGCATCCAGGGCAGGCTCACTGGGCCCCACTCCACAGCAGACCCCAAACTGCATCATCTGCATTGAGCCATCTGGGTGCCTCCAGTGATGCTTCAAGAAGAAAACAACATTCCCCGAGTCATTTATGTCTCCATACATTAGCAGTGAAAAATAAGCACACATAGTTTGAAAATCTCTGCTTACACTTGGACCCCTAAATACCTAAAACACTCAGGAGTTATGTCTTGTAAGTTGCTTGTGATCCCAATTCTGGAAATTAAAAAAAAAAGCAGCTGGTAGAAACTTAATGAATACGTACATTGAGAAAGAGTTTCAGCAGTATCACTCTCAGTCTCAGGCTGAACACAGCTGATCTTAATTTCTGTACACCACTTTTCCCAAAAGTTAGCATGACCACTGGAAGAATTATTTTATATACACATCAAGAAATTTCAAGAGAATAATTAGTTTTTCAACAAATTTATACTTTTGTTACTGGAGAAATTGCAGGGTTCTTGTCTTCGCACAAGAAAGAATTCATGCGTGAGACAGAGAGTAGTGGGAGGTAAAATAGCAATGTTTATTAGGGAAGGGACATCCATAAGGATGGATGGGGAGAGACTGGGGGGGGGGAGGGTGGAGGTTACATGGTTGAGTGGAGAGAATACACCTGGCCAGACCAGGCGGGCAGAGAGGCAGAGAGGCAGAGGGCTGAATGTGCAGTGGGTCTTTGTCTTCACACATCTCCTCCTGAAACAAAGGATTTTATGGCTGTAAATATTAAGAAACTCCTATCTGAGTTTTCCCTTGAAGGTATCAGACAGGAGGAAGCCTAACTGGTGCCATCCTGGGTTCAGAGGAAGGGTGAGCAGGACCCCCTAGAGAATGGGGATCTGGAGCAGAGTGTTTGAAATGCAGATACTGTGCTGCATCTGGGAGACTGTGGAAGATTTGTCAGGAAGAAGGTGCCGGGACCTCCACCTGGCAGCTTATCAGGTAGAAGGGGGCAGGGCAGGATTCGAAGACCGGGCTGCACCTGAAACATTGTCAGGATGACTTTGAGATGCAGCATATGCTGGACATAGATGTCTTCTCTTTAGGCCTTTATGTCACACACACATAAGCTCATAACTGACTTCCTACCTAACACTTTGACTTCTACTTAATAAAATACATGACAATGAATTTTTGAGATGAGTTCTGCCCCTAATCCAAAAGTTATACTCTATCTTTCAGAAAATAAACAGAAAAACAAGCCAAAAAGAACATACAGGATCTTCATGACTTGGGGTAAAGCAATCTATGAAAGAGAGCAGAAAACAAAAACCACGAAAGAAAAGGCTCTAAATTGCACTTTACTAGTATTTGAAACATTGTAATAATCCACAAAGATCATCACAATATAGGTCATGGGCTAGGGAAAAAGGTTTTCAAAGCAGGTATCTGAGAAAGGACCTACTAAAGAATGCAGAAATAAACTCTGAAAACTTAACACCAAAAATACAAACACAAATTTTAATGGTATATATTTTGAAAAGTCTCATAGAAAATGAAATGATATGCATATGGCCCAGAATCACTTTTAAATAATTAGAATGGAAATGCAACTTGAAGCCAAACTGAGATACTACTGGACATCAACAAACAGGCTTGGCATTTGGATGGGTTCAAGTTCTGGCTCTACTTCCAAGACCAGCTTCCTGCTAATGCACACCTTAGGAGGCAGCAGGAGATGACTCCAGGACTGAAGTCTCTTCCACCCACATGCAGGATTGAGTTTCTGACTCCCAGCTTTGGCCTGGCCTGACCTAGACCTGCCTGTTTGTGGGCATTTGGGGGAGTGAACCAGCAGATGGGAGATCTCTCCATCTGACTGGCTCTCTCTGGCTCTCTCCCTATCAAATCAATAAAATAAATGCATAAAGATTTTTTAAAGATTTATTTATTTATTTGAAAGGCAGAGTTACAGAGAGGCAGCGGCAGAGAGAGAGAAAAAGATGTTTTCCATCCACTGGTTCACTCCCCAAATGGCCTCAACAGCCAGAGCTGGGCCAATCTGAAGCCAGGAGTCTGGAGCTTCTTCTGGGTCTCCCACAAGGGTACAGGGGCCCAAGGACTTGGGCCATCTTCCACTGTTTTCCCAGGCCATAGCAGAGAGTTGGATGAGAAGAGGAGCAGCCGGGGCTCGAACCAGCACCCATATGGGATGCCAGCACTGCAGGTGGCAACTTTTCCTGCTATGTCACAGTGCTGACCCCTGTATAAAGATTTTTAAAACTAACATAAAATATTATAAAAACATGGAGTGGTCAGGGATCTTACTTATTGATGTGAGATAGATGTACAGCCACTTTGGAAAATAGTTGGCTGAAGAAGTAATTTTACTCCAGGATATCCAAGAAAAATAAAATGAAAACATGCTTGCAAATGTACTTGCTAATGAATTTTTATTGCAAGTACTTCATTGGAAAGAGCTCATTAACATGGGACTGAATCAGCCAGTATAGTCACATGGATACAATGGAATCATGCTCTTAAATAAAGCCAGACCCGGGATCTGCACATTCCCCTGTTTCCTGCCCCATCAGTACTGTTTTCAGTCAGTGTTGAGCTCTCTCCATCCCCATGAGTGAACGTGGAGAGAAGCCAAGCATTCCCCTGTTGGTGACAAATGCACTTCTTCCTTTCACCAGGCAGCCCAGCTGTGGAAGTACCAGTATTTTGTGGCTAGTGCGGAAAATATTTTTTTCTTTTCTTTCTGGAACTGTCTGATAAGAACTCGGAGTACGTTTGGAGACCAGTGGGACTGCCCAGCTGTGGTTTCTCTTTGAGGAGGTGACATTTGAGCATAGATGTTCAGTAAGTGAGGTGAGGAAACACACCATGGAGAGAGTTCCAATAGAGAAGAAACCTGAGGC